GTGTATCTGAGTTAAATATGTAAATCTTCAACAAAATCTTTCTTTAGATTGTTCTAAAGTTTTAATTATGTAGTGACAATATTCATTATATTGTAAACTGCAGGCATAAATCATGTAGATTTATGTACTCTAAATCTAAAGGCTTCTATACATGGAGTTATTCTGGAATAAGATTGCTTTTTTTCTGGTTTATCTTCCAAAGTGGATTAAGTTAATTTGGAAAAAGGCAGTCTTGTTCTGGAATACGAGTGTCTGCACATGGAGTTATTCCACAGTAGCTATTCCACTTTAAATTCACACTCTACTTTAAACCAGAATAAATTTAATGTGTAAACAAGCCCTAAAACATACATTCTAATTTAGAAAAGATTTTAATTACATTTTAAGAACTTAAGTTACAGTACACTAAAGGTAAAAGGTAACTGCTCCTGCTAGTGGAGATTTATAATTTCCTTAAACTATTTTTCTCTCACAAGCAGTTTTAAAATGGTTTGTGTAGTTTTCTTTGTATTACTTTAGACTGAGAGGAACATAAAATGTGGTGTGAATAAACTTCTTGCATTCTGCAATAACAGTTAGGATAATATCCACCTGTTTTCTCTCTGCAGGCTGCTTATTTGAGCATGGATTGTGTTAGGATATAAATCTGCCACTGGACTGGGCCTCATCATTTAGAGCTTCTGGCTCCACATAGCATCTTATTAGTAATAATTTATACGGCACTATAAATTTACACAGTGGTGATACCAGTGGGAATTTTTTTAGAATTCCCTACTCAGTAACACAGGACTGTGTCACTGATAAGAAGGTAAGAAAGCCTTTTGGAAGATGTGGCTTTAAAGAAACTCAGAGGAGGCACACAAGAACATCAGGAGTGAGGATGCAAAGGCAAAAGTGGGAGGAAAGAAAGGGAACCGAAAGAGGATTTGGAGGAGGATGAGAGCATAGTAGGGAGTGGGAGTGGGGGACGGGGTCTAAGGGAGAAATGAGAGCAGACATATAGGAAATTTATAGGTAGGGCTGGTGAGAACTTGAATCTTAAATTTGATGCAGTAAGAGGAAGTGAATGAATATATACAGAGGGTGGCTCTGTGGTTAGACCAGCGGGAAGGGAATGTTTCTTAAGCAGAAGTATGTTGGATATCCTGGGGGCTGTAGAGTTTGCAATATTTGAGACAAGAAAAGAGATGAAGATAGTAAGGAAAAAGTGGATTTTCTTATAACAGAGGAAAAAAGCAATAGAACTTGGAGACACTGGATTTATGGAAGAAAAGAAGAGTCAAAGATGAGAGTTTCAAGCCTGGGAGACAGGAAGGATAGTGGAGTTGTTATGGTGACAGATCAGGAGGGTGGAGAAAAATGGTTTGGAAAAAATAAGTAGCTCAGTTCTGGAGATTAAGAGAGCAGCAGGACATCCAGAGGATTCCTGAGGGAGTTGGAAGCATAAGATCGCACAGATGAGGGTCAATGTTCAGCTCCAATGTAGAGGTTATTCAGGAATCATCTGTACAGAAATGTAGCTGAAACAATGAAAATGAATGAGATCAGAGGTAGAAAGGAAGGGCATCTTTGGTGATGGGCTGTTAGAGCATGGTTTTAAAGAGAAGCAGGAGGAATCTCTTGAAGGTCTCTGCATTGGCAGCCTTAGCTGGTTAAAGTGCCCTCTGATATCAGATTTAGCTCCCTTTAAATCAGGTTTAAAACCTTTTTTTAGATCAGTAGGACTTCACTTAGTATATTAATTTTGATTTAACTTTTACATTTTCATCTATTGTATAAGATGCCTTGAGCTTCTTTGGACACCTAATACAATTATTTTTGAAGTATGAAACTTTAGAAGTAAAGGAGTGTTATACAGGGTTTGGGGACTGTTCAGGAAACAAAAACTGATAGTGGAGATAAGATATCACCCAGTCAGGTGCCTAAAAGTTATGACAGCCAAAGTTTATGTGAGCAACTGTAAATGGGCAATTCACAGCATAGTAGATGAAATAGTCAGTATTGAGAACAAACTAAACTTAACAATCTGACCACAGTTGATGCATATATAGAGGGCAGGATATGGCCCAGAATCTGTATTTGTATAATACAGATACAGTCAAAGATATCTAGATCCCTTTAACACAGATAAGTGGTTTGATTGAATATCTTATTTTAGGCACTGCTAATTCAGAGTGTGGTGCATAAGAGATCAACTATATTAAAAAGAAAAGGAGTACTTGTGGCACCTTAGAGACTAACAAATTTATTTGAGCATAAGCTTTCGTGAGATACAGCTCACTGCATCCAATGAAGTGATCTGTAGCTCATGAAAGCTTATGCTCAAATAAATTTGTTAGTCTTTAAGGTGCCACAAGTACTCCTTTTCATTTTGTGGATATAACACGGCTGCTACTCTGAAACCTGCAACTATATTAAATTATTTATGTATTTAGCACCTGTGTTACAGCTGATAGATCAAGCTTTTGTCACTAAGCAGTTAATCAGCTGCCAATTTCTATTTGTATTGGCACTTTAAACTCTAGTTTTATTATTCTTGAGTTAAGATTCAGTGTCTCTGCTTCAGATTAGAGAGGTTAATCAAGGCTTCACATAAGGAATATATTTATGGAAATATAATGCAGTAGAACCTCAGAGTTATGAACACCTCGGCAATGGAGGTTGTTCTTTCAAAAGTTTACAACTGAACATTGACTTAATACAGCTTTGAAACTTTACTATGTAGAGGAAAAATGCTGCTCTCTCTTTATTTTTTTAGTAGTTTATGTTTAACAGAGTACTGTACTGTATTTGCTTTTTTGGTCTCTCCTGCTGCCTAATTGCGTACTTCTGGTTTCAAATGAGGCGTGTGATTGACTGGTCAGTTTGTAACTCTGGTGTTCATAATTCTGAGGTGCTATTGTAGATACTTTGTATCCCATCATTGCATCAAAGGAGGAGATTGAAGTAGGTAAAGAATGAACGATGTCCTGGAAAAAGAAAACTGAACAAAGAAAATAGAAAAACAAACTGAAGAGCAGATTGATGAAAAACAAGAAAGGTGAGATGGTGGGTCCAAGAGATAAGCTACTGGACAAAATAAGTGCAGAGAGAGAATCTAAGAAGGCAAACATCAAACAGTTTTGCATGGAAAGAAGATGAGCTGCTCAACAAAAGGCCTAAGGATGCAGAAACTTGTTTTGCAGTATCTAAAAGGAGGATTCCAGGACCTCAAATTGGGTGATGAAGCCCCAGAAGGTGAAACTGACCAGCTTGCTTTCTTCAGCCACCTCCTACAATTAATCTATTTTTGATATTCAGATTCACATTCTTTGGGATCTTGTATGTGAAAGCACTTTGGACTAAAACAGAAATTGTATTTAATATGTTTTTGGCAAAATAAATTGAGATTCAGCTATCGCCATTGACCATTTATTTACATACTGATCATCAGCCTTAAAACAAGACAGGAATTAAATTCCCCTTTTTGGTGTTAAAGTATAAAGAATACAATTCATACACAGAGGATGCATAAGCGTTAACCTACTGGGCTTCCTTTTATAAGTCTTAAATTTTAAAAACAGGTTTGGCTTGAAGGTTCAAATATTTACCCAACAAGACTGACTGGAAAACAACACAAATTTTAATCACTATTATGTGCTCTATACACAACCTCAAAGTGGTTCACTCTGAATGTTCTGTCCACCATATATATTATCTAATCTTAAACATAAGTAACATATTTTCATCTAAAGTCATCATGATGTAATGGTTAGAGTGGGGGACTGGGAATCAGGTAGTCACGGAGTATCTGTGCCTCAGTTTTCCTGTTTATCAAATGGGAATAATAATTAGCTTTCTCAAGGTCTTTGACAGATGCCATTTATGTGCAAATTGTTGCTACTTTCTCCAAAGCTGGAAGTGGAAAAACTACAGCCAAGCAAATGTTAAGCAATAACTAGGATATTGAACGGATGTCAGAAGGTCAGAGACTAAATATAAATTAAGTTGAAAAACAATAAAACTATTGTGTAATGGAACATTGGCAATGAAACAGATTTAGGTGGTGGAATTAGCTCTGTGCCATCTTTGATGTAGAATCATGTGCTGCAATTACTATTGATGTAAATTAGCTTAGTTTGTAACATGATAAAAAATAAAAAAGTCAAAATTGAGAGTAACCCCTCCTGTTATGGAATTAACTCTAGCAGCTCCATAGTTAAGGTTGTTGAGATTATTATAATGTGATAAGGGGTGTAGTAGTAAATCCCTTTGTTAGAAAATAATGTAATCATTAAACTTTACATCAGTTACCCTAAAGGTATAATTTAATCCTCTGGTAAATTACAAGTAATCCTGTTTAATACTTTAGGAGTTTGAAAGAACTAAATCTTAACATTCTTTGAGCATTGTCCATATGGATCCCTATCTTTAGTGATGCACAGTTCCGTGTCATGCAACCCTAAACTTTCCAGAAAGGTGTGTCTGTTCAGGCTGTGCGCTCACCCTTTTTACAAGCCCAAATAGCTTATACAATGAACATCTGATAAATGCATAGGAGAATTTAAACATGAAGATCCAGATTTCCAAGGTCTCCTCTAAATTAGTACCTACTCTTTTTCACACACCATTTTTAATGGACACAAAAACTTACATTTGGCTTTACAACAAGCAATGGTTCATATAGTTCTGGTGATCAGATAACCAACTCACTCATTTGGGTGTAATTTTTCAGGTTAGCAAAAATCTCTATTAGGTGTTATTGAAACTGTTAACCCCATCACTACTAGTTAATCCAGTTCAGCATTAAAGTTTGCCACCTCATTAATTTCTATACTGCATAAACATTCTGACTTTTAGATGCTTCTGCAAACCAAATATCTACACTTTGTAAGCTTCACTCATCACTAATTCTGATAATTATTTGATGTTTTCTTTGATGAACATATACTTTCAAAATGGAATTTTGTTAAATTACTTGTGCAGGAACTGATTTTTTTTGTCCCGCTTTTCTAATGCAGCTTACATACAAGCATGTCGTGCTCTGATGATCATTTCCATCGTCTTGGGTCTCTTGGCTACTGTGCTGTCATTGTTTGGTTTAAAGTGCACACAAGTTGGGATGAGTAATGAAAATACAAAAGTAAAGATTTCTGTAACGGGGGGAGTGATCTTCATTTTAGCAGGTAAGATACCATCATTGTGCATTGAGACTGAACTTAGGACACTCAATACTGAAAGCTCAATACTGCTTTCATGATTAGCAAACTAAGTGAAAAGTACATCTATTTTCATAATTTAAAGCTGTAGAACTATTTAAAGGTTTATTTAAGTATGTGCATTTTGAATTTTTCTCCATAGGACTCTCATCTATGGTGGCTGTTTCTTGGTATGCTGCAAGGATTACTGCTCAATTTTTTGACCCACTGTATGGTGGAACCAAGTAAGTTAATGGACCTGGTGTATCAAATTGCTGAATATTTTTAAGATGGCATCAGTAATTTCAGTGGGCAGTTTCCTGTAAGGGTTTTCCAGGACCCTGTAGTCTGTACTGGTCAAGTTATCCCATCCTGCTTAAAGAAAAATTTATCAACAACTGAGTCTTTGAAATCCTCTTTCCCACTAGATGGAGGAATTATTGCCAGGTGGAAGGACTGGGCCATGACCTCACTTTCAAGGAGTCAAGGAACATGCAAGCCATAGGAGCCTCAAATTCTCAATCATGGCGCATTGGCACAGAGTGTATGTCCCTCTGTTCTATTGCCAGGCTCTCCTGTCATTGATGTGCCATTGCATCAGCTGTCTGTGACCCTTTTGGGGCTCTTAGAATGCAGAACCAAAGTTAATGTGACATGGAGCATTTACCAGCAAGAAATCCTTGAGATCCACAGGTGTGCTTGCTCCAAAATGGCTTTTCTTTGTTCGATCCATCATGCTCCCTAAAATTCAGAGCCTCTCCTATGTGGCCAGAGATTTTTGAGGGAAGGTGGAACACACAGAATAGGTGGTGCTGTGCAAAGGACTTGGTTTTATTAATAATTATTTGTATTACCATAGCACCTAGGAGTCCTAGTCAGGGAACAGGACCTCATTATGCTAGGTGGTATACAAACTCGGAACATAAATACAGTCCCTTCCCCAGAGAGCTTACAATCTAAGTAGAATGGATACAGCTTAAACTGCATTTGGAACATCTTGGAAGCCTATTCATAGAATAGCAGTAACAGCTTTGGAGGATATGACAATGATGGACATTTTGGTATCCTGGCTTCCTGTCTAGAGAATAACGGTGTAATGATATGTTCCCTCAGAGTAAATGGAGTTTGGTTAAGAGTGTCTTAAAAATAGCCACCACCAAATTTGAGTATAAACATATTATATAATAGAGTGACTTCTGCCCACTCCAGGATCCTTTTCTCTGAATGTAATATAAATTCCAAAGAAAGAACTTGAAGGTAATATATTACATTTTCAGAATAACATTAACAGTTTAAAATTGAGAAGCATCCAGGAAAAATTCCAGGACCTCTTACCTTTGCTCCATATCCCCACCCTTCCTCTGTCTCTAGGCTTAAAAACTTACTTGTTGAGTATGGCAATAATCCATATTCATCTTTCCAGGCTATCCTGTATACAGAACTATCTTCACTATCTATTGGGAAATGTTAAAGTGGATAAAGGGCAGATCTTTGGGATTTACACTTTGCAATGGGCAGGGCCCAAATTTGTCAGCTTGTAGTACAGAGCCGATGGTGGATGTCTCAGCCAGCTGCCTTGGTGACTCAACTGAAAGAAAGGGGAGGGCATTTGGAAGCTGGCTAGTGCATGCTTCCTGAGACATTAGGAATCTATCAAGCATGGCCTTTATGCTGCTGGTCCTCTGAGCTTTGGGAACCTTTTAGAAAAGCAGTATCTGTTGAAGTTGCATGAATGCCTCCTTGTAGCACTGGCTATTTGGAGCTGCAGCTGAAGCTGTAAGAAGGTGTGCTGTACCTGACAACCTCTGTTCTTTCATTTCTTGGCTAGCTGTGGGTATATGTTGTGTTCCTGTCATCCCAATTCAGTTTACTCTATAAATTTCATTACAGTGCTCTCTATTCTTTCTTCCATTTAATTAAAAAAGCTGTTACATCAAACAGATCCTAGCAGATACCTATGGGACACCCCTGGCCCCCCTGATCACTTCATTCCCTCCCTCCCACCTCATACTTAGTTCATTGTTTATCATTACCCTTTGTTTATGTACCTTTATGTTTATTACCCTTTCACCAGTTTTCAATACATATTTTTGAGTAGGAGGAAGTCAGGAAACTCATTAGTTTTTCCCATCTTTGAGTTAGCAGCTGGCTCTGTGTAGATATTTTTTTCCAGTTTACTTGTCCAAGACTATGTCTACACAAGAAACGCTTCTGTAGTGCTGAAGTGTAGACCATTACTACAGCGACAGAAGGAGCTCTTCTTTTGCTGTAGTAAATTCACCTCTCTGAGAGGAGGGTAACTAGGTCAATGGAAAAATTCTTCCATCAATCTAGTGCTTTCTACACTGATGGTTAGGCTGACTTAACTGTCTCTCCAGGGTGTGAATTTTTCACATCTTTAGGTTGACCCAGCTACATCATTCAACTTTCTAGTGTAGACCAGCCCCAAGCCTTTCTCCTCTTCAGTGGGCAGCTTCTCAATACATATTAGTTTGTACTAGCTCATAATGAAATTTTCCGCAGCTCCTTTAGCGATCAGCCCTTTCTCCCTAGCTTTACTTTGTCTCATTTGTTCTTGAAGTTGATGATAATGCCAATATTTTGTAGAACTTATCTCTGCTGTTCCTTTTTGAATAGTGTGGATCTCATTTGTACTTTTTATTATGTTTCCTAGAAAACACAAATCTGTCCTCCCTTGGCTTCTATGACTCCATCCTTTCCAGGTTTTTTATTCTACTTCTCTGATTCTTCTGTGTGTCCTTTAGAGCAGGAGGGGCTATGGGATGCTGGCTCCAGGAGGAGGCTGGGGGTTGGGGTGCAGGAGAGAGTTTGGGACGCTGGCTCTGGGAGGGGGCTCAGGCCGGGGGTTGGGGTGTAGCCTCCTGCGGCTCCCGGTCTGTGGCACAGCGCGGCTGCTGCTAAAAAGCAGGCTCCCTGCCGGCCCCGGCCCCATGCCACTCCCAGAAGGGGCCAACATGCCCCTGCGGTCCTTGGGGCGGGGGCACGTGGCTCTGCGCGCTGCCCCTCTCTGCAAGCATCGCCCCCGCAGCTCCCCTTGGCCACGGCTCCCCGTTCCCGCCAAGGGAAGCTGTGGGAGCAGTGCCTGCAGGCAGGAGCAGTGCGTGGAGGGAGACCCCTGCTCCCACCCCCCAGGGCCATGGAGGTGGCTAGCGGGGGGTGGGGGCAGAGATCTCCCTCCGCGCACTGCTCCTGCCTGCAAGCACTCCCCCCCGCAGCTCCCCTTGGCCGGGAACGGGGAGCCGTGGCCAAGGGGAGCTGCGGGGGCGATACTTGCCGAGAGGGGCAGTGCGCGGAGCCACGTGCCCCCGCCCCTCCCCAAAGGCTGCGGGGGCACGTTGGCTCCTTCTGGGAGTGGCGTGGGGCCGGGGCAGGCAGGGAGCATGCCGTACCACGCTGCACCATGGACCAGGAGTCGCTGGAGGTAAGTGCTGCCCGGCGGCAGACCACACCCCAACCCCGAGCCCCCTCCCAGAGCCAGCACCCTGTACCCCCTCCTGCGACCCAACACTCTGCCCCAGCCCAGAGCCCCCTCCCACACCCAAATTCCCTCCCAGAGCCCGCACCCCCTCCTGTACCTCAGGCTCAGCCCAGATCCCCCTCCTACACTGCGAAACCCTCGGCCCCAGCCGAGCGTGCACCCCCTCCCGAACCCCAATCCTCTACCACAGCCAGGTGAAAGTAAGTGAGGGTGGGGGAGAGGGAGCGACGGAGAGAGGGGGGGATGGAGTGGGGTGGGGCATTGGGGAAGGGATGGGGTAGATCCTGGGTTGCCCTTAAATTAAAAAAGTGATCTTGGGCGTAAAAAGGTTGGAGACCACTGCTTTAGAGGGTTCTCTCCCATCCCTTTCTAACATTATGTTGGAGTTCCACTGGGCTCTGTCCTTGGTTCTGTTCTCTTCTCCCTCTACACTTTATTGCTAGGTAATCTGTCTCACAAACACAAATTCAACTACAATCTCTGTGCTGACTACTCACAGAGCTATCTGTACTCTGGACCTGTCTCCTTCTGTCCAAACTAAACTCTCAGCTTGTGTCTAGCTGTCAGTTCAAGTTCAACCTGGCTAAAACAGAACTCCTAATTCCCCCCTGAAACTCTTCCCACTGTCTCCTGTTTCATACACTGTAGACAACACCACCATCCTGCCAGTCACTCTCATCTGTAATCTGGGCATCATCTTCAACTTGGATCTCTCTCTAGGTCCTCACATCCTGGCTGTGTCTAAATCTTGCAGATTTTTTCAGCATAACGCCACTAGGATACAGCCTTTCCTATCCGTCCACATAGTTCAGCTATCATCTTGTGTCCCAATTACTGCAACATTCTTCTCTTTGCCCTTGACATATGCAATCTTTCCCCATTCCTATCCATTCAGAATGCTGCTGCAAAGATCATTCTCCTTACCCATCACTTTGACATGTCACCTCATTTTTTGCATGGTTCTGACTCATCACTTTCCATGCCTATCCCCAACCTGTCTATCACCTCTCATTCATTATTGAAGGGTCAGCTCCTGATTCCAATCTGCAGCCATAGCTCACTTGTTAAATTTTCAAACAAGCACTTTTGTGCTTTCTCCCATGCTGTCCCTTACCCTTGGGAGAAGCTCCTTGTAAACAGCCACAAAGCTACAGTAGAACCTCAAAGATACAAACACCAGAGTTACGGACTGACCAGTCAACGGGACACCAAGTGAAACCAATCAGGCAGTAGCAGAGACAAAAATTTTTTTTTAAAAAAAGCAAATACTGTACTGTGCCTGTATTGCATCTTAGAGATAGGCACATCTGGGATGCCTGTCCGCACCCCCGTGCACGGGGCAGCCACTAACAGCAAGGCGCTGGGGCTGCCAGCCCAAGGCATCTGGAGCCAGCCAGTAGAGCAGGAGCAGCACTGGGATCTGCACCGCTTTCACTCCTTCCCCACTCCCCGGGGAGGGGGACAGCTGTTTTTACACACACACACACCCTGCCCTGAGTGGGAAAGCTTGCAAACTCATGCTGGTGCTGAGTATGGAGCTCAGCTGCTGCTGAAACTGGGCCTGGAGTGTCAGCTGCTGGATCTGGAGTCTGAACTGCGCTTTGTTCAGTATTACAAACATTTCAGAGTTATGGACAGCCTCCATTCCTGAGGTGTCCGTAACTCTGAGGTTCCACTGTACTTCATTATCCTCCTTCAACTTCCTCCTTCAACCTCTCCTTTGCCTTGATGCCTACAAAACATGACAGCGGTTAGGCTGCAGGTGTGCCGAGACCACAGCATGTCGTGCTGACCAATATTGTCTCATTGTTTCCTTGTACTCATCTATTTGTCTATATCCATCTGTTGTTTTATATTCTAATTGCAAGCTCTTTAGGGCAGGGACTGTCTTTTTTTCTGTGTTTGTACAACATCTGGCACAGTGGGGCCCTGATCCATGACTGGGATTTCTAGGTACTGCTATCATACAAATAATAACATTAAGCTCTCCATTAAGAAGAAAAGGGTGATGGGTTTGTATCTGGCATTGTGAAAGATTGACTAAACCAGTCATTCTTGACTATTTATTACTGATGTTCAGGGTTAGTCCTCCTTAATGTTACCACTTGCTGGTAATACCAGGTTAGATATGAAAAAGCTGGATGTGAAGAGAACTCCAGTTGACTACATAGAGTTAAGCCCTTCAGGAAATCCACCAGCTGTTATTAGAATATAAGGAGAAGTCTAAGGGTAAAGCAATCTTGGAAAAGCAAAGACTAGACTGGATGAGAATTTGTATTCAGACCTGGTATGAATAGGCAGAAGTTCCTTTGCTAGAAGGAAACTAAGTTTTCTGCATTACAACAAGAGAACCATATCTACAATATGCACCTATAACATTGCTGTCTTTGAGATTTTTAAGGTTGCTACTTTCAGATCAGTTCACACTTTTAACTAAACATTTTCTTGGTAGGAGTGCTAGACCAGACACTACTTGCTTAGCTGTTTACTAGTCTTCTACAGTGGGGATCTGTATTGGTAATTCTGTGTAGGAGAAAATTATTACTCTGAAGAGATAATACTGAAATCTCCAGATGTAAGTGGATAAGTGCAGTAAACCTTTTCCCCCTTTTATCTTCAAGCTGTTGCTCCATGTGTTCTGTTCTCAGACACTGTAAATATCTGTCCTTTATGACCAACTCTTCAGTATTTCTAAGCAATTACCTATCCCCCTTTATCTCCATATTGCTTATTAATTTTTTGTTCTTTAAATCCCTGATTCAGCAAAGCACTTAAGCAGAGATACAAATGCTTACATTATTGGCCACATCATCTATTATGTAACATTTAATTGGGTACTGAAACTAAACTGCCTGGTTTATAATTCTCTACATTCTTTACCAAGAATGATGCTAGCTTTTTATACAATTAGCACATCTTACAGCTAGTACAGTGTAAAATGTATTACTGCTTCATACAAACTATATAATAATATAATGGAGAAAGCTTTAAACCTTCTATGTGTGATCCTGTTGTATGATGCTTCCATAAAATCCTTCATATTCCAGGTATGAACTAGGAGATGCACTGTACTTAGGCTGGGCTGGATCGATTTTGTCTATGCTTGGTGGGATCTTCTTGACTTGTTCATGCAGAAGGGGAAAAAGAGGAATGCACAGGTAGCTCTTCATCTTAAAGGTCAAAATAAATGATATACTTCAATCATTGCCAATTTATGCATAGAAAGTGGGTTTGTCCCCAATTATCCACTTCTGTATTGTGTACATGCAAAAACTAGAGGCTAGGACTGTCGATTCAACACTGACTCTTGCCATAAACTCGTGATGTAAACATGTATATACTCTTTACGCCTATCCTTCTGACCTCTAACACTGGCTTGTAAAAATTTAAAATAATCAGTTTTATATTTTTTATAATTATGGGCAGTGTTGGTGCTTCTAATGATCGTACAATGGAATTGTGCCAGGGCCGGCTCTAGGTTTTTTGCCGCCCCAAGCTCTGAGAGCGCAACTGCCCAAGCAAAAAAAAACAAACAAAAAAATGGCTGGAATGCTGCCCCTGGAATTGTGCCACCCCAAGCACGTGCTTGCTTTGCTGGTGCCTAGAGGTGATCCTGAATTGTGCAATCAAAGAGCAGAGCTTCCTTTGTATTGGTAAAACTGCAATACAGATCTTTAACTTTTTTTTGTATTGTGGCAGTAGTGCCATAATTTTCTAATCATATTTTCACTACCATTAAAAGGATCTAATTCCATTTATCTTGCAGAAAATAAAATCCTTTTCCCCCAAAGCAACCGATACAGCTTAAGAAATTCTGAGATTTTTCGTGTTTCTCGTAGAAAGGTTTGTTTAGCAATATGTCAGATAAATCAAGTTTCTGGCCTGACTACTTATCCTTTTTCATTGGAAAAATATAATCTTTATTTGAAATAAGTCAGACATGCAGCAGTTGTCTGGGAAATGGTTGCAGCTGTCAGAAATAGCAGGTCTGTGCACCCTTGAGATGTCCAAGCAATACTAGGTCCAAGTACATATAAACCACATTTATGTAAACCTTTAAAAAAAGGTGATGCACAGAAGGAAGAAGCATGTTGGATGATGCTTTACTTAAACATTAGAAAAAGCTGTGTGAGAACAGCCAATGAGGGACAGTATTACGTTGAGCATGATATACTATTGCATATTGAGCCTGGTCCAAAGCCACTGAAGTTGATGGACAAATTTCAGTTGACTTAATAGGGCTTTGGATCTGACCCACAATGCACTGACTCTCTAATTTTCAAATTTGATTTTAGTAAGTCCTTCAGTGAAACCTAGTACAGAATTTAAAGCTCTGCACTATGCGTGAGATCCCAACAGCATGAACCCAAGATAATTTCCAATTACATTTTTTATCTTATTGATTTGTGTTAAAAATTGCAACTAGCGTAAATAAAGACTCCTGCTTAGATCAGTTAAACTGATTTTGTCAAAGAGCATGTGGATGTATAGTACTTAAATATTTACAGTTCATTTTTCTTAATTACAGTGACCGCAAGTATGACTACTCAGCTGGCCAGGCAGCTCATCAGCCATGCATTTACACCAAAAATTCTGATACAGTCATGACATCCAAAGATTATGTGTAAACTTTTTATTTTTTTAATTGTTTGTACGTTAACATCTTGTCAATCCAAATAAAAAGATAAATTAATTTTGAGTGTTCTAGTTCAGGTTGCAATCTTTATCTCAGTATTGAGGTTGTTCTATGTTTTAATACTTCCATCTGGGAATATTTTGAAAATCGAAACAGTTAAGTTTCTGGAAAGATATTGCCACATGGAGATTTCCTGTTCACTGACAAACCAAGCAAAACGAAGCCATAATGTATGGTGTACCTTGACAACAAACCAAGAGTAATTGTTAATCTATTTTTGACTGGCTCAAACAGGGAAACTGACATGCTGCAACTAATCACAGCCTAATAAAACTACAGTGTTGTAAAATGTACTGTAATTTTATTAATACTTCGCTTTGTATTTTTTTAAAAATGTTTTAGCTTTTAAGAGTAAATAAGAATTAACCCTTGTGTGATTTGCAGTTCTGAATTAAAGTTGTTATGGATAGTATTAATGAAATGTTAATTTTATTATATTTGCACTTAAAGACATGTTTTATTGATACATTATGTCTAGTAGAGAGGTTCTCAAACTGGCACCCACCTAGGGTGTGTGGAATGTATTTGGGGTGGGGTGAGAGGCTTTAGGGGAAAAAAAAACTTACTGTGCACATTTTACCCATAGTGATGAATAACTAGCAAAGCTGATTCCTCCAGACATATCAGGCACTGTGCATTTAACTGTAGATGACTCTGTGCATTTTCATGGATTTCTGTTAAGTTTGCATTGGATTATAAAAAGTCATGGCCATCTCTATATTAATCTGTTTGCTATGATGTGATGTGCACATTTAATTGTAAAAACAATGAGGAGTCCGGTGGCACCTTAAAGACTAACAGATTTATTTGGGCATAAGCTTTTGGGTTTTTTACTCACAAAAGCTTATGCCCAAATAAATCTGTTAGTCTTTAAGGTGCCACCAGACTCTTAGTTGTTTTTGTGGATACAGACTAACATGGCTACCCCTCTGATATTTAATTGTAAGCATGGACCACAATCAGTTTTGCTTTTGCTCTTATTGCAATGGATCACTGGCTCATTTGTGCAACAGAAAACCCCCCAACTCAAGTGAAAAACAAAGAAGCCAAAATTTGATTCAAGTGAAGCACTGCTGCCACATACATTGGTATAGGTACTTCCGTGGCATGAGAGGGGGCAGGAGTGTCACAAACTATTATAGACACAAAGCAGGGGGGGCGCAATCAAATAACTTTGAGAACCACTGGTCTAGTATGTGGGATTTGTAGTGGAACTTTTTAAAAAAAATTGCAGAACACAACACACTAAAATCCTTGTCCAGTGGATGGCAAATATACAAATATAATAATATACAAGGGATACTGCAAACAGTCAGGAATGGAGAAACCAGCTGATAAAGGGATGCATTATCTATTGGATGCCTTATTCCCAAATCATTGATTACATTTTTACTTATTGTTTTGTGGATTTAAAAGAAAAAAAACCCACTGAATTAGAATTGTCTAATTCAAACTGTTCCACAGTGGCTCTGTTCTGCAGTAATTTTATGGTTGTAACTTTCAGTCATTAGCACTTTCATCTCAAGTTACTCTGCTGCTGGGAATACCCTTTGTATTGTATAAGCATTTAGTCATTAAAGATTAGCTAACCTTTGTAAAAATTACATTGGTTTGCTGAGCAATGCCAAATTAAATTTCACATTGTCAGTTTTACAGCTTTCATAGTTGCTTTTTAAATTTCAAATGTATTAAAACAGTTCAATAAAATAATCCTCTACTTTTGTTGATTCTGAGCCCCATGATTAAATTTAAATGTAGCCCAAGTTGCAAATTTTATCTGTCTCCAATGTACCCAGATAACATATTTCCTATGAAATCATACAAGGGCTCTTAGCAGAAACACTGTTTTGTATGTGTGATATAGAATGTTTTTATACCCTGGTGATCTATTCAGTAAGTCAGTTTGGGGACTGTTAAATCTCATTTGGTTTAGTAAATGGTAATAGAATGGATGGAGATTACATCATAATGCCAGTTTCTTCCCCTGTGTGTCTTTTAATTGTTTTAATATTGTGATGGATATTTCAGTACTGCTGAAAACAAGGAAAAGCTCAGCTAATTCAGGCATAGAATGAGCAGTAGCTGTGTAAGATCCCACACAGAACTCTGCCAGTATTCAGCCTGTGGTCTACAATGCCCCTCTATTCTAGTTCTAGACCTACTCATGAACAAGTAGGTGAGGGCTGTCAAATTTATTTTGTGGAGAGGCCAGATTGCACTCTTAATTATTGCCCAATGGATGGGGTACAGATTTGAACTATATACTGTTCTAGGCACAGTAGTTTTTCCACTGCTGTCATTGGGAGCTTTGTACCAAGATCAAGGGTAGAATATAGCCTGTATGTAGTAATGAAAGGTTATTTGTTCAGCATCCTATTGTCCTATTTAGAATCACTCAAAAGGGAAAACATGCAAACCATTAGGACAGGGCCACTTTTTTCCCTTCCCTATCTGTTCCGTTTGTCCCTCTTCATTTCTCTTCCTTGCTTCACTCGGTACCTTTTTCCCTGCAGCAATTTCCACCACCTGTGGGCTGCTCTCCTACCCCTTTTCATCTGCTAAAATGATCAATAGTTAAATACTTAGTCTTCATTAGGCTTTAAAGTTAGCACCCCACTGAGCTGAATGGAGAATCAGGAAATTCACACCTCATGTCATTGTTGTAGGTTTATACAGGATTGGGGAAAATAATACTGCTTTGGTTATACTGTTCATATTTGGAAGATTATCTTTACACCCATAAAGGTTAGAATTTTTTTTTTAAATCTGCAGAATCTGAATGTCATGCAAACCTCAAAAATACATAGAGAAGGCTGGATGTATTATGTTCTTCTAGTTGGTTTTGCAGCCCTGCTAGGCCTTTCAGAAGCAATTGTGTTTAACTTTGAAAAAAAAATTTAATCAGAATTATATTTGGAAGAAATCATTTTTTCAGAAGAATGACCCAACTGATGCTGCATCTGTAAATGTTCTTCATATCTCTGCAGCTGAGACCAGAATCCTGTGTTGGGCTCTACTCCTGGTCTGGCAGTCTTCACAGTCTAGAAGAAGTGACAAACATTGCATGTGTAGTAGAAATTGTGCAGGAAATCAGGCAAGATATTTCTCCCCTCCCCAAGACCTCTGAGAAAGTTGATTTTGATATTTATGTGGGAATAATTACAAAAATATACAAAACAAGCACATTTCACATATGCCAAAGAATATATGTTATAATTTTTTGAGTAATCTGATCTGTTGTATCTAGGGAAGTGAGGGTTAGTCCAGTTCCTAGTGAAGTGGCATCAACATAACATCTTAATTAGTAACTTTTCTGGTAGGTCTAATAAAGGCCAAGGGTGAAAGCACATATAGACCGAGCCCCACTTGGAGGGCATTCCAAATCAAAGTTGAGGCATTATTAGTATGTAAGGGACTGTTTATCAGGAACAATATTGTCTCTGTGCAGTGTTTGGCTATTACATAGATAACACTGCTATGAAGGAGATCAGGATTAATACTGCCAAGTGATATCTGCACAGATTTGCTTGATTTTTTCCACTGAATGGCTTTCTCTGTCTACACCTCATTTTATGTTAGTTTGCCATGGATTTGCAAATGCAATCAGGACTGTTCACAGAAACAGCCAGCTTTCTTTGACTATTCTACTGTGTTTTCTTAAAAAAGATTTGACTTGGTAATTGTATTTGTTCCAGAAGCCTAATTTTAAGAGCTTCCCTTGTCCAGTCAGGGACCAAACAGTTAGCATGGGATTGTGTCCAATCATAACAGCTCAAATTTGGAATGCTGAATATTCTTAAAAATGCTTACAAACTACAGTCCAATAATATTCACAGGATTTCAAGTGAATACATTTGAAAATGTTCATACAATTTGTGAATAAGATTGGAAAAGAAAAAAGCATGATTTGCTCTGCTTTTATATATAATAAAATGGGCTAAGGACACTAAAATGCAACTATAAAACTACATCAGATTTTGTCAGTATTATCAATAATGGCACTCCTTTGTGTCCAAGTTCAGTAAAGCAATTTAAAGAGTTTTATCTCCAGGTGCTTATTTTTTTCAGATAGGAATGCTGTCTCCTATGTTGTTTATTTCTTGTGGTCTTAGGAATTGGGTCATTATTCATAACATAATTTGAAATGAATTTCTTATCAAACATAAGAGCTATAACTTTCAAGCATAAGTACAGTACCTCAAAGGCATCCTTGAGAGTGAGATTTTGGTGTCTCATCAGATAGGCAGTGCAGATTGCTGCAGATCTGCTGCGGCCATTTTTACAGTAAACTAAGCATTTTCCACCACTTCGTACTGTGTCCTCTATGGCATTGCTGCACTGTTCAAAATAGTTATACAAGTCCTCCAAAGGGTCATCAAAAACAGGAACCCGCAGGCTTCGAACTTGGTGAAGGCCTGGGAATGGCTGCTGCCTGGAGACATTAATACAGAATGTAACTCCCTCTTGAGTGAGGAGTTCTTTGTTGCAAGCTGATCTAGAATTACTGATTAGCAAAGAATCAGTGATCTTACAGAGCTGTAACATTGGCAACAAAGGGTGGAGTGTCACCACTGCCCTGTGACGCTTTCATAGGCTGCTTTCCATGAGAATCATTAAGGACTGTGGCAGAACACAAAATGATACTTAAACCCTGATTAATTGAAAGTGCAGTTTGTTTCTAGCAGCACTTTGGCTTGTTTCTGCTGTCCTGTGCCTTAGCCATCTGTGCTGTGCTATATTTATTCTACACTTACTGTACCAGAACTAAAGGATTCCTTCAGGTCCTAATGCCCTCTTTAGTGGGGTAGAAACATTTGAGAAATTAAATCACAGAGCAGAGCCCACAGAGCAATCTTAGAACAGTTTAGAAATTTGAATAGCACCAATTCCTTCAACAATTTTGTAGTTTCTTAACACAAAAATAAATTAATCTGCCCCAGGACTCCTGTTTATTCAGAAAGTAATGCTACTGTAACCCCTGAAATATTGACCAGGTAGGAATAAAATGAACTCAAAGCAAATAGAATATATTGCACCAAGTCTGGAGCAGTGGATTGTTTTTAGGAGCTTGGAGTATTTTCTAAATTGCTAATGTTAATAGAAAACAGCACCCCCTTTTGCTGAGCACAGCTTTCTGAAGCTTGCAGAATGTTTGGGGGATGAAAGTTTTCAATAATTCTGCACTTTGTGGATAAAAAGTGAGCAAAGAAATGATATAAAGATATTGATTATTATGTCACAGCGTGAGACTCACCCCTGCAGTGCTTGCTACTGGTCTCTCAGAGAATTAGCTCTTCCAGCCTCCAAAGCACCTTCTGCAGGCCAGTGTCTCACTGCCACTGGCCCCCCATGTCCCTCCCAGACCCTGGTGCCCATTGGTAGTACCCCCACAGATCTGGGTCTCCCCCTCCCAGGGAAACCCCCACCCACTATCCTCACCTCGCCTCAGACTTTGGCTACTGCCAGTCACCATTGAGCCCCCACACACTGGGGCAGGCTACAGTGTATAAGCCAATCATCACAGGCAAGGGGGGTTTGGACCTGCTGTCTCTGCCTACCCATGGGCTGCCCCTGCAACCCCAGTACCCTGTCTTAGGCCATCTGCCAGGCCTGCAGCTTTTCCAGTCTGGCTCCTCTGGCCTTCCCCAGTACTGCTTCACCTCAGATACCATGGTACACTCCCCAGCAGCCAGGCCTGTCTCCCTCCATGACTAGAGGAGACTATCTGCTCCTGGCCCACTGCCTTCTTATAAGGGCCAGCTGAGCCCTGACTGGGGCGTGGCCACATCTGAGCCTGCTTCCCCAAATCAGCCTGGGAACTGCTTGCTCCCAGCCACAGCCCTCTCCTGGGCTATTTTAAGGCCGGAGCCGGTGACCACCCTGCTACACACACATCCCCTCAAAACCCCCACCCCTGGGGGAAGAGGGACCTCTTGGCCCAGGCTCCCTAAAGTTGGAACTCCAGGGTCACCCCTCCAGGCTCACACACCTCCTCTCGGTGGCCTCCCAGCTTCAGGTCACCTCCCAGAACTGGGCCTCTGCCTTCCGATGGGCCAGCTCCGCAGCCTCCAGCCGCATCTGTAGGTCGGCGTCTCCTGGACCCCCTGCTTGCAGGGTCTGGGTCCACTTGGTGGCTTGTTCCTGGACCACCTAGCCCCCAGCCTCTTGCTGGGCCCACTCAGTCTGAGTTTCCCCATTGGCGACCGGCTCTGCGATGGTCTGGGTCCCGACTCCCTGTTGGGTCCCCGCCATCTCCGCCTCTGTCGCCTTCTCCAAACCCAGTGTGGCCCCCTCCAGGCACCTCCGTCGTCCAACCCTCAACTCCTTTGAGGGGGTAGTGCCTCCTAACGTGTCCTGGGATATGGCAGCCCCAGCAGGCTCCCCATCTCTTTGCTGCATTCGCTCCCCTTCGGTCCCTCTCAGGTCTCACCCTTCCACCAGGGTGGACCTGGACCCTCTGACTTGGGCCTGGGTCCACTGCATGTGGCCCTTCTGCCCACAGGCCGGCAGCCACCTGGGTTTTCTCACCCAGAGGACTGTCCCCAGAACTTGCCCCTCTCTGTCTCCTGGGTGAGGCGCCTGGCCCCCCACCCCAGTAGGAACAATCCCTCTTGATATGCCCGCGCCTCAAACAGGCATAACATGTCTGTCCCTCGGCCACAGGCCTCCTGGCCCTGGCTCTCAGCCTCTCCACCACTCCTCTGAAACCCATTCCTGAGGAGGTTTACCAAGGTTCCCTTACCAGCTGGCCCAACTGTTCCTGGAGGGCCTCCTGCACCTCCTGGGCCTCCTGGATTCCCTGCAGGTGATCAGCCCCCTTCCACCGGGGCCCAACCAGGGACTCCACATAGCCCATGTACCTGGGATCGCTCAACCTTGCCTGGAGACTCAGCAATGCCCCCCAGACATGCCTGGACTTCTGTTCCCCAAGCATATGGGACTGAGGGTATAAAACAGAACACAGGGGCCCCATACTTGGCCTTTCTCCTTCCCCCACCTATGCTGCAAGAAACAAAGACACTCAGAAGAAGACAAGACTCCAACACAGGAGACCGGCCTGGTTTAAGGGACAAACCTGTATATTAAGAACTGCAATATCCAGTGGGGTCAGAAGAGCTGCTTAATCTAGATGTTGCCCAGTCTAATAAGGTTGAGAATTTAGACTGTATGCATATATTTTCTTTTCTTTTGGTAACTAACTAACTCTGACTTTTTGCCTATCACTTAATATCACTTGAAATCTATCTTTTGTAGTCAATAAATTTGTTTAACTGTTTATCTTGACCAGTGAGTTTGCCTGAAGTGAGTGGCAAATCTGCTCAGGCAAATCTGCTCAAATCTGCAAAGGCTGGTGTATGTCCACTTTCCATTGATGAAGTGGTGAACCAGTTAATAAATTTGCACTGCTCATCTTGAGCAGTGCAAGATGGCATCTTCCTGAGGTACAAGGCTGGGAGCTGGGGGGATTCGGCCGGTGCTTCTCTCTGTGTGATTCATGAGTGGCTCTGGGAGCATTCATGCAATCTAGCTGGGTGCGGGAGCTCCACATGCAGTTGTGCTGAGTGGTAACAGCACCTGTAGGGGTTTGCAGCTGGTCACTAGCAAGGCATTGTGAGGGACAGCCCAGGCCAGAGAGACTTAAGGGGGCACAGTGGTCCGATGGTCCCAGGCTGCACTCCGGGGATCCCATCACAGTGACGCAATGAGCTGGTTGAAATACACAGCTTGTACTGAGCAAGATTTGCACTTCATACACTGGTGTAAAGATTTAATTTGTATAAAAACTTGTCTTAACTAGGCACCTCTCTTAGATTTGTTGTTTGCAGAGAAGATGAATGTAGTGCCATTTGCCTTCTTGTCCAGTCTGGGTCTGTGATTGTCCATGTATCCTGGGGGCGGGGGGACAAGGACTAGCACAGGGCTCATGGTGTCATTCAGCCAGGTCTCAGTGATGCAGCTTATATTGGGTGCTTTGTCACTGATGTGGTCATGGATTGTTTCTTGTTTGTTAATGGCAGATTTTGCATTGATCAATATCATCTTTAGTTCATGTTGTTTTGTGTGTTCTGCTTCCAGCCCATGCCTAGTAGTGGTCTTGTACAGCATATAGGTGTTAGATGTCTGGAACTTGTTTCTTATGTCCATTTTTCCATTGAACTGAGATAGGTGATTATGTGGATTGTGCTAGGGAATAATCTGAGTGGAGGAAGGATTGGCTGGATATCCAGATGCCATGGGAAAGGCATGTCTATTGGATATTTTTTGGAACTGTAACCTCGTTGAGTCCTGGGAATGGGTGGAGCTGAAGCAGTGTGCTCCTGGAGTGTTGGTGGCATAACAGCAATGGAAATAACAGTAGTGACAATAATAATAGATAGGATTGAGGCCAGTAGAAGGAGAATGTGTGAATGGCATCATAAGAATGACCATATTGGGTCAGACCAGTGGTCCTTCTAGCCCAGTATCCTGTCTTCTAACAGTGGCCAGTGCCAGGTGCTTCAGACGGAATGAACAGAATGGGGCAATTATTGAGTGATCCATCTCCTGTCGTCAAGTCCCAGCTTCTAGCAATCAGAGTTTTAGGTCCACCCAGAAGATGGGGTTGCATCCCTGACCGTCTTGGCTAGTAGCCATTGATGGACCTATCCTCCATGAACTTATCTAATTCTTTTTAGAACTCAGTTATACTTTTGGACTTTACAACATCCCCTGGCAATGAGTTCCACAAATTGACTGTGCATTCGGTAAAGTAGTACTTCCTTACATTTGTTTTAAACCTGCTACATATTAGTTTGAGTTGACAAACAGAAGCCTTTAGCCAAATGAAATAAATGATTGTTTACAGAGGCAATATGTGGAATCCGTTAATCTCTTCGAACATAAGCACTTTCCTACATGACATCTGTCTAAAGCTCCAAAAACAGGAACAAGACTAAAATGATTATCTCTTTCATATATATTCAGATATTCCCTTCATTCTTGAGTGACAGCCCCTCCCCTTCACAGTCACTTATGCAACATTGACAGGGTCATTTTGAGGGAGGTGGAAATGAGATTTTAAAAAAATTGTGGGTGCTTTTTTGTGTCATAGTTTTTGAACAATTATGGTACACTTTGGTAATATTTTCAAGCTTTTCTCAACAACCATGAAGGATAGAAACTTACTTTTCTATTTACACATATGCTGAAATTCTCACCTAATCACATGCCTCCAGGAACTGGGGCGCTAGGAAAAATGCCAAATATCATGAGAGTTGGCCAAACTGTCAAAAATTAACATGAGTCTGTTGTTAGAGCCTGCTTATTCTGGCTCTCTGGGCTCAGTCGTTTCTGATCTTTGTTTTAGTTATTAGGCCCGGGGTACTAGGATGAGGCATGGTCTCTTATTTTGTAAAAATATTTTAAAAACAACAAATAGATGGTTCCTGTATGAACACTGGTTTGAATTCACTCTTGAAGCTCTGCTGCTATTCAAACACAGCTCTCACTCCACTCTTTTTTAAGTCAACAGAGCCACCTTGAGTAAATTTTAATCTTTTTGGAACATGGAGATTGTTGGATTGAGGTTCATTTACTCAGCTGATGGGTCTAATAAATATTTATTAAGACAAAACTCATTTTACTCAGATCAGTTACTCAGAAGTGGGAAGCTCATCAGGATGATCTCATCACAGTTACTGCCAGCACCGGACAATACAGATTCA